CAGGACGAGCGATGCCCTTCTCGTGCCAACAGGCGCTGCCCGCTGCCCCTCAGGAGCCTTGGACCACAGAGAGGAGACGGCCCTTTGCCTGCCCCGTCCCTTCCCCGGGAGCTCCCGGGCTGCGGTGACAGTGGCCACCCCTCCACCTTGCTTCACTCCCGGCACCACCAGCTCGTCCTTCATCAGCCTGTCGTGGTGCCACCCCTCTGATGACTTTAGCTAGTGCCTCAGGATCTGCCTTTGCAGTTGTCCGTTAGCCGTAACCCATCATTAGGGCACCCGGTGGGACTCCGTTAATGCTTAGACATTGGAGGACGCGAGCTGGAAGGAAGGTTGGTTGTTTTCCACAAACATGAGCAAATAAAGTGGTATTGGGTTTATAATTTTATGCCCTGCTAGGGAAATTCCTGAGCAGGGTTGGTTTGGTTTGGTTTTTGAGTATCCCTAATAACCCTTGTAAAACTGCCAGTGTGCTTTCCCAAATAAGACAGTAAAGAATTATATTTACATAAATGGAGACAGCAGCTGTCACTTATTTTTCCGATTCAAAGCTTCTTAATGAGAACACAAAAACTATATGTATTTAAAAATCAGCTCCTGTTAATTCAACTGAATATCCTGCACCGCTTGGTTTTGCTCTACGTACCTCATGGCAAACATGGTACCCATCGTTACCAAAGAGCTGCGGTCCAGTTCCGAGAGTGAAATGCCTGCGGAGAGCCCCAGCAGAAATCCCACCCGCCAGGCCTGGCTCGCAGCCCCAGCAGCCCCCCAGCAAGGTGACTGCGGGAGGGCTGCGCCGTTCGCTGCGCGCCTCCGACCCGCGCAGGGAATCCGGTGGTTTAAGCCTGACGCTGTTCTCAGAGACACGGACACATCCTTAGCTGGCGTCGGTCAGGACCACCCAGTAACGCCAAGCGGAGCTCTGGGTGAGGAGCCAGCTCCATAATTCCCATCTATCTATATTAATTTAAAAGCCATTGCACCACATTGCTCAGGAAGCTACTCTACTACATTGAAAAAAAAAGAAAAATCTAAGTCTAGCTGGAAAGAAAAATCCCTCCGCTGCAGAAAGGGGGGAAATATAACTCCGTGTTTTCTCGTCTTCTTGTTTTATTTTAGGCAAGAAATCCTTCAGCATGTCGACGTAATAAAAAATTTTTCTTTGACCAAGAATAGTGTTCGGATCGGACAGCTGATGCATTACGATTATTCCAGCCATAAGTACGTTTTCTCTATCAGCAATAACTTCAGATCGCTGCTTCCCGACGTGTCGCCGATCCTGAACAAGCACTACAACATTTGTGCCGTGGTTGGCAATAGTGGGATCCTGACCGGCAGTCAGTGCGGGCAAGAGATAGATAAGTCCGATTTTGTTTTTCGTTGCAACTTTGCTCCAACTGAGGCTTTCCAAAAAGATGTTGGAAGGAAAACCAATCTTACGACCTTCAACCCCAGCATCCTGGAAAAGTATTACAACAATCTTTTGACCATTCAGGATCGCAACAACTTCTTTTTAAGTTTGAAAAAGCTTGATGGGGCCATTCTTTGGATCCCCGCTTTTTTCTTCCACACGTCGGCAACGGTCACGAGAACACTGGTTGACTTCTTTGTTGAGCACAGAGGGCAACTAAAGGTCCAGTTGGCTTGGCCAGGAAATATAATGCAGCATGTTAACAGGTGTGTAGTTTTGCCTTGCAGTTCACTTGTCAAAATACATCTCTCTCTCTCTCTGTACAAATACAACTCTCTCTATTTTTCTATTCATGCCTGATCTGGCAGGCACTGTCTAGCGAGTCAGGACCCGATACTGCTTGTTTTTAGAGCAGATGCAGTTTTGTTGTTGCCTCCGTAAGTACTTCAGTTATTTCCTTTCAGATTTATACAGGGCCCAGCAGAGGTGGGTTGGTTGTCCGCACCGGGGCATGGTCCCTCGCTGGGCTCGGCTCCTGCCGCTGCTCCCGCAGAGCCCGAGGAGGCGGGGGAGCTGGCTGGGAGGCTGCCCCAGCAAAGCCCCGCTAAGGGAAGAGCTTGCTCTTCTCAGCTAGCAAGTGGGGATGCTAACAGACAGCTGCGGCGGGGGCCAAGGTAAACTGTAATAAATCACAGGAGGAGAACGTTGCCACCTCCTTAGCAAACGCACGTGTGAGCAGGAGCCAGTGAATGGTACTTTTCTGGGTAAGGCACTACCTCCCCTGGTTAAAAACCAGACACATTCAGAAGGGGACCGTGAGAGACTGCTGCGCAGGTTGTTTTGCACTCCCGGTCGTTACAGACCGACCTGAAGAGCCGACTTTGCCTTATCCAGGCTGTCAGCCGTCTGCACCGATGGTCACCAGGCAGTAACTCTTTTTGTCTTACAGCGAAGCTGTGGCACTACTTGCACCCCAGACTAACGTGCTTTTATTTCCTTCACAGGTACTGGAAGAACAAACACTTGTCACCCAAGCGGCTGAGCACAGGTATTCTCATGTATACTCTTGCTTCTGCCATATGTGAAGAGATCCACTTGTACGGATTCTGGCCCTTTGGGTTCGACCCCAACACGCGGGAGGACCTCCCGTACCACTACTACGATAAGAAGGGAACAAAGTTCACGACCAAGTGGCAGGAGTCCCACCAGCTGCCCGCAGAGTTCCAGCTGCTCTACAGGATGCACGGTGAAGGACTGGCCAAACTCACCTTGTCGCGTTGTGCCTAAGAACCTACATCTTGAAGTGCCAAATGATTGTCTAAAAAGTGCCCAAAACCGAATTAAACATTCTTCAGATAGAATTCTAAAAAAACAAACAAAAAAACCCCACCCGAAAATATTTTCCGTAGTATAAAGATGCTTTTTAGTCACTCTTGTCACTGCTCATCAAAGGGTTTAAGCATATTTAGCAGTAAAGAAGCATTTCTCAAATTCTGTGGATGCTATTCGTGCAGCGGCAAAGTTGAGATATTTTGCAGTTATAGGTATGCCACTAAGTATGTTTTAAGATATTTTCATATTTTAGCGTTCCACTAAATGCCCTAAATCTCTTAATTTTATTGTTCCTTCCCAATTAGAACTAGAAATGCTAATTTTAAAAGGTTTTGCTTCTTTTGTATATGTTGCTATCGATAGCTCAGCGTACATAGCTCGCCGTGGCCGATGGAAAGCCACTCTCAATTCCAGTTCATCCTCACTTGCAAGTTCTTCAGTGTGGATCCTGATTTCCACCGCTTGCATATTTTCTTATTTACTGAATTTTACAGTTTTTGAAGAATAACATGAAGCAGAAGGTCACGATATGGTTCGTACCGTAGCTAGGCGTTTCTATTGCTCTCAGAATACTTCAGCGTTTTAATTCAGTGGGGGCCAAATCCTAGTCCAGATCAGACAGGCTGAAACATCCCTGTTTCATCCCCATCCCTGCAATACTGGCTGGTCTTTGGATTTTAAAGTTAAACCACCACGATAAACGGAATTAGGTTTCTCTGGAGATGTGCTGGGTGAGAAGAGCCCCAGACCCCAGGGCGGGCACACCTCCCTCCGTACCCTCTGAT